TCACAGCTGAATAAAAGACATCACATCAGTAAAACATCACATTAATAAAAAAGTCCAGCACCTAATAATTAAGACCATGAATTGTACAAATATCAGATGAAAAGAAGAATGACAGTGATAAAAATATTATCCCTCAACCCTAGGACTATAGTCCTAATCTAAATTTTCCTTTCCCATGGCTGATGTTGGACAAAATTTGAAATGACAGAAGATCTAATAACAGGTCTACTTTAATTTATCTTTGCATCCCTTAAGCTCTACGAATTTATCTAATCCTTTTCTAAATCAATGCAAAGTGTGTGACAATTCCTTAATTTCCAAATGAACAGGAAAACACATAGTTATAATAAAACTGAAGTAATTACTAGGCCTGAAAGTTTGCATGTGTGTCATAACTATACACAAATTATAGCTTTGCACTTTTCCAGCCAATAGGTATCTGCATTGCTATATCAACATTTTCTTTGAAAGGAAGCCAGCCATCCCAAACCCTTTATTTATAATATAACTTTTTAAAAATATTTTCTGATTAGTCTTCTTGAACTAATTCAGTCCAATACTTGGATGAGATGATTCCATGATAAATTGGAAGAAATTAAAATTTCCTGCATGACAGGGGGTTGGACTAGATGGCCCATGTGTTCTCTTCCAATTCTATTCTATTATTCTAAGTGGTTACCTTGTTATGAATATTTACTCCACTGTTGTATAAGAGAAATAAAAGCCACTTTATTTAACATTCAACATGAACTTGCAAGTTAATTTTAATACCAAGATTCCTATCTCCATTTGAATAGCTCATAATTAAAGTTCACACGACCTTGGTGTACCTACGTAATTTGAGAAATGGCCAGCACTGTCCATAGTGATTAAATATTTCCACGTTGTAATTATTTTGTAACTTTTGTTCTGCTTTTCTCTCACTCCAAAATTATCATAAAATTTTGAAAGATATCCTCAGCACAGAATATGTCCATAAAATATTAAATATTCAATTTTCCTCTATCATGGCTTGAAAAATTCATAATTACATGATGATCCACATAATAACTCATTCTGAAAAGTCATATATGGCGCTCCCCCTGTGACTGAGTTAATAATTTACCGCTGTGTGGGATCTTCACTCTGCACTGTTAGTCTTGGAAACATTTATTAAGCAAATGTTCATTTGCAAAGATCAGAATGTGAATGAAGAGGGTAAGAATTTAATGAGGAGTGACAGACAGGTGAACTGATTCCATACAGTTCTTTACTACAAGAGAAAGCAGATAGCTTTATCTTTCATTGCCTCAATAGACACATGAAATAAAACACAGGCGACAGGGGGTAGAAAGGGAGGGGAACTGAATGATCCTTTGCTTGAAGGGCCAACAGAGAAATAAATCTCAGCAACTCCAAAGCTCCATCCAGATCAGTGGAAAGAGGAATTCGCATGGTCAAACCTTGAGACATTGCTGGCAAAAGATAATCTTATCTTCAGATTTCAGAGGAGTGCTTTTAAAGAGAGGGATCACAACTTTCAGATACATTTGAGAATTACATGACATTAACAAACAGCCTTTAAAAAACTTTCTTTTGTACTTGAACACTAAAACTAAAGATGTCTGTAACTTAAACAAACACATTCATTATGTTGTCGTTAATGCCAAATTGGTTGGGAAACATCACCCAGACAAAAGCTCTCCAGCTCAGATCTTCATGGTGATGGGACAAAGTGAACTTTAAATCATGGTTTTGTTTTCTTGGGTGTTTTCCCTGTATTTTTGAGCACAGTTTGTGGTCAAGTAATA